TAAAAAACCTTAAATAAACTGTTTGTATATAAAAATAACCCTGGAGTAACCTAACATTTGTATAGGATTATAAAAAACCTAAAAAAGTGGTTTCCTAAATACAGCGTTTCCTGGCGTCACTCCAATTTTCATTAAGGAAAAAAATCACAATCTACAATTTTGTAGTTGTAGGAAGTCGTCAAAAAATGAAAACTTCTGCAATTTTCGAAAAACCTGGGTTTCTTTCAGATCGAACGAGCAGTATCAGTTTTGGAGATAATAGACTGTACAGTTTAGGCGCTGGCGTTGACACAGACGGAAAGAGAGAGAAAGAGAGAGAGACGTTTTGTCATCAATTGATTTTTCGGTGTCAAGAACCCACAAAACATGGAATTTGGCTACCCAACGTGTTAGAGGAATTAATTTTCTATATATTATAGCAAAAGGATTTATTCACTTTTTCGTTATTAGGATCCGGCATGAGGTATTTTTCTGTCGACAATTCACCTGTTTCTGACTCACGATTACAATACTTCCTCTTCTTACGATGTAAGGGAGAGAAAATAACTTGTAGTGTTACATAATGGCACTTTCTCGTACTAGTTAGTTTTCTAATTTTTTATTCGTCAGGCCTAGCTTTACTGCCTTGCCACAAAATCTTGCAAGCTGCCATTGATTGTCGCCCAAAGCTTTTTTCTCAGTTTTTCGGTTTTCGAATAATAGAATTGGAACTTTCTTCTAGACTATTAACGAAGAGAAAAAAGTCGTCTGAAATGGTCATTTTCATTGCAAAATTTGAAGCCGTTTCTAAGAAAAGGTGTTTAAGCTTCATTGTAAATGCGAAATTTGAAGCTCTTTCTCACAGAAATTGTTTGAGTTTCCGATAAACTTCACTTAAAGTAATTTAAAGCACTTCCAATCACAAGTGCAATAATGTATACAAACCGTTGGAAATGTGCATATTAGCTGCGTGAGATAGTGTTTAAAAAACTTAAATTTGTGTACTTTTTGAAAAGAACTAAAGAATACAGCAAATTTAATTCTCTGTCATTTCAAACAGTGTAATTAGCACTATCTGGATACATGCGAGTAGTAAATTAAAGAAAAATCTGGAGCGGTTTTCGAGAAATTGTTTGGGAGAAATTGCATAAATTTCTGACACAAATTACACAAAATCCACTGTTATTCTTACTGTACATGACCGGTTTTAAAAAGCCGATTTTTTAAAACGGAGATTTTATTCATGAAAAACTCTCTATCTGCAGTTTTGTACTTTTAAAATGTTAACTTTTTGCAATTATCGAAAAATTGTGAGTTCACCGAAAATGGGATTAGCACCATATTTACCCTCCTTTTTCCTAATAAGTAATATGCCTTTCCAATTTCAATGCAAATTCAATACCTGGCCGACCAAAGGGCTTTTGTAGGGGAGGCTTTTGTAATTCGAACGATTCTTAAATGACACTCGAGCAATGCTTTGAGAACCTCTGCACGTAGAGGTGTCCCCACAGTAAGCAATATTCAGCAGTTGGAAGTTCGTGTTGGTGAATGGTTGTAATGTAATATTCTTGAACGTTTGAGAAAGTCAACGAGAGTGCACGTAACGCATTACTTCGTAAAGTAAAGGGTATTCCACTGAAGCTGTAAGTACTTGCTTATTCGTGAGATGTGCCCAGAAATGAAATTCTCGCATTTTTATTTTCAGTAAGCAGGCAAGGCTCGATCGTTTGTGCCAAAGGATGTCACGATAGGTAATCAGCGTTCTCATGCTGCTTCGCTGATGGCACTGCAATGCGACATCATAAGCTGCCAAAATCATTACCCCATTGGCCGTTGCCGTTGCCTTTTCCGGAACGCCCTTGGCAACGGCAACACCTGAGTTTGTGTGCATCAGTATTCAAACATGTCTCATGCTAATCGATGCATATTCGAAACGTCCCGATGTGATTCCATTCACATCGTCTGCTACAATGATCACTGCTCTACTCACAATTCACACTTTATTCGGTTCGCCCAAGGAAACTGTGCGACATTGATCCTCAGCCACTGATGGTGAGGTGCAGCGCTAATTCAAAAAGGGCATGGAAGCTTTTGGTCTTCTAAATCGGTAGGCGAACGTTCAACATTTCCTCATCCACCGTTCAACGATGCCCGTTACTTCGTGTCGTCGCCGCCTTATTTACTGTTCTACGCACAGCCCATACTCAAGATTTACTGAGGCCATCAGGTGCATAAGTAGTTTTGAAACATCTGGAGCCAATACGTCTTGCAAAGACTTGAGGTCGATTACGCGAATTTCAAGTTGACCTACTCGGAAGTGGAGATTATCCATCGAACAAATGATGATCCGGATCCGTTGCTCAGTTGCAGTGTCCACGTAATTTGGTAGCCCAAACGGACAATATCGTACTGACAACCGGATTAGGTTCGGCAACGGAGGGTGGCCGCCGCAGATTTCTTCAGTGCACCTTTGGCACCTGCAAACACGGAATAAACCGGTAGCCGACCGACGTACACAGTGATAAATCTGGACTTCACTAAAATACAGATTTTTATATTTAATGACAAAACAATTCAAAACTGTGTGAAACATACTTTGGAGGAAAGTTCACGTTTTCTTCATATCATTCTAATACTAGTTAAGTTACATGTTATTAAAGTTGCATGTATAAAAATTTTAAGCAGTAATAAAGAGCTTATATAGAAGTTCAATCAGATTTACTGCAAAAGTTACAGAAAACTAGTGATGCTACGAGGGTTGCCTTTTATATTTCAGGATTAGAGAACAAAAACAAATATTAATCATCGAAAATTACTTTATCGTTTTTCAAAATATTCCCCATGAAGATCTATACACTTTTGCGTTTAAACCAATTGTCAAAGCACTTTTGCCACTCTGATTGAGGTATCTCGAAAACATGCATTCTGAATGCAGCAACTGTGTCTTCAGGTGTCGAAAAACGTTGACTTCTCAGTTTGTTTTTTACGTACGGGAATAAAAAGAAGTCATTCGGTGCTAAGTCAGGACTATACCGCCGATGACTCATCAAATCGATGTTTTTGGTGCTCAAAAATGCAGTTGTTTGAGCCGATGTGTGAGAGCTCGCATTGTCGTGGTGAAGAGTGTTCCGTCTTCGGCAGTTGGTTTTCCTGATTTCTTCGAAGACAGCTGGCAAACAAATCGTTGTGTACCGCTCAGAATTGACTGTTCTGCGTTGTTCTAGTGATACGGTTGCGACATAACCTGTTTTTCCGAAAAAACAGGCGACCAGATGTTTGGAAGTGCTTCGTGCGCGAACAACTTTTGTTGGATTTTGTTCATCTTGAAACACCCATACAGTCGACTGCTGATTATTTTCGGACTCATACGCGTAAATCCACGATTCATCACCTGTCACGATGTCATAGACGTGTTTCAAAGCACCGCGATAGTATTTTTTGAGCATTTCTTTCGACCAATCGACACAAGCCATTTTTTGAGCGATCGACAAATTGTGTGGGATCCAATGCGAACAATTTTTTTGAACAGTCAAATGTTCATGCTATATTGAGTGTGTACTGGTCCCACTAATGCCTAAGGTTGTGTCAATCTCACGATAGGTCACATGACGATCTTTCAATATCAGTTCACATGGTTTTCGGAACAACAACTGATTTTGGATGACCTTCGCGAAATTAGTCTTGGAGTGAACTACGACCACGATAGAATTCGTCGATCCATACCATCGATAAACACTGATCCTTGATGGAGCTTCATCGCCAAAAATTGAATTAAGTTCATCCACGCACTGTTGCTGAGTTAATCCACGCCGAAAGTTGTAAAAAATAATGGCATGAAAATGTTCACGAGTTAATTACATTTTTGGGCCAAGATGCATCTTTTAAGTTACTGTAAACAACACAAATAGCGCTCGTATGTCAAAACGTTCTAAGTACGTATAACCTCAAAACATCCGACTTTACGATAGAGCTGTCAGCTGCCAGATTGCAACACCAGTGTTGCGAAATCCCGAAACATAAAAGGCAACCTTCGTACAATAGGCATCTCGCGTTATTTCTAACTTGCAATATTCGGAAAGTCAGAGACTTCCTTGACAATGAGACCTGCGATTGTTTAAGCACCCTATTCTACCCATGAAAAAAAACGGAAGAAAAAATTTCGAGCGGTTTCTGAGAAAAAGTTTTGTCTATAATTTGCATTAACTTCATGAAAGAGTTACGCAAAATCTTCTAGTTTTCTAAAAAAGTACTTTTTTAAAGATTTCAATTTTTAGAACATATTTCATTTAAAACAAAAATCACTATCTTAAATATTCACCTTTTGCAACTTTAACGTTTTGCATTTATCAAAAGGAGTTCACCTAGAATGAGACTAACACCACTTTTTCCTTTGGTACATTATAGGGTAAAATTTAAAGAAACAATTCAAAGCTGTTATTCAGTGTTTAAAATTGGCTATATTTCTGTCAAAAATTAACTCATATTTTGGAAAAATTATATGTAACTTTATTTCAAGATGTCTTTAAAAACATTTTTCATCAAGTAGAAATCACTGTTCAATAATGTAGTTGTAAGAAGACGCCAAAAAAATAGAACTTCATACTAAGGAATAGTGACCAGTGAATAACCATTTTTTTTAATTTTTGGGGGAACCGCTGGTAGAAATTAAAAAGATATAATTAGTCTATATGGTAATAGGTTTGAATTACGTACTATAAAGAGTATAAAACACTCTAAATACTTTCTTCAAAATTTAGAATGCCCTTCAAGCATTTCAAAATTTTGTGAGAAAGTTTTGGCCATTCAATTTCCATACACAAATACAAATACAAAGTTTCTGAAAGTACGATAATTGATTGAATGTAATGAATTATATTTTTTGATCAAGGCTACAGTGTGAAGTGATTCTGTTTAGCACAATGAACGACTTGCATAAATAATGCTACAAATCATTATTTCAATATTTCGTTTTTAAAATCATAGTATTCCTGTCCATTTGTACACTGCTTCCTTATTTACAGCACTGGCAGATACCTTTATCGAAACGTTTTCGTGCGCTGAAGCTGTGGTTTGTTCTCCGGTCCTATGGAATTAAAGGCCTTCAAGCCCATGTACGAGAGGTAAGTGAAAAAAATTATCTATAAACTTGTTGAGTGTAAAAACTCCAGTAAATTAATAAATATTTAAACGTGTGGTGCTGCAACAACACATACTTTCCGCACTGAGACTTGAACTGAGGTCCCCCGAGGTAACTCCCGTTAGTGATACCATTATGCTACTGAAGAACGATGAGGTTTGAACTTCACCCAACGCTTCAAAATGTAACTGTCACAACATAATATTTACAACATGCAATTGTAACAATTTTCGGCAGTAAAGAGAGTTTACTGAAGATGATAGTAGAACCATGTTTTATCCGTCCATTATTACATACGAGATAAAAGGTTAATGAAAAAATGTTGTGCGGATTTTGACTAAATAATATTTTTAGGAAATACAAATTATGCAATAAATTCTCGTTTTTATAACAGACTTTCATGAAAAGTTATATATTTTCTACTTTGTAGTTTAATTTTGAAAATTTTAGGTAATCTAACTATTCGAATCTTACTTACTAGTTTTGAAATGTTACAATTTTTCAATTATCGACAAACGGATAGTTCACTGAAAATGGGATTAGCACCATATTTTGAATCGTGCCTGATAATGATTAATCACAGACACAGAAAGCATCAATTAGAAGATACGTTAGTCTCCGTCTTTAGAAAACATTCTGCCAACAACTGATTTCTAAGAATAAAGTAAAAGCTATACACTCCTGGAGAATCCCTATGCGAACTCATTGCTTTTGAATTGTCAATTGGTCACATACAGATTTTCATATCCTAGACAGAATCGTACGCACTGTTCTCACTAAGTACAGAATGCATCATTATCAATCAGAGGGGAGCTGAACGAACCGTGGCCGAAGACGCACGGGCATCTGTCAATGTACAGCCGTGCCAGAAGACGCGCGACTGTGAGGCGCTTCGCGCCATCACGCTGTCTGAGTAATTTGGGAAATTTCTTTTGTTCTGTGGGAAATGGCTGTATGTTACACAAAAACTGATTAATAAACTAAATTAATTGAGTTGAAATCCTCTACTGGTCAATCCGTTGAACTAGAACATAGTAATAAGTACAAAAGATTTATTGAAGAATTAGATACTAATAACGAATGTAGATCCATCGATCATCAGAGACATTAGATCGCCACACCACTGGGTGCACAAATCTCGCCAACACAGAGTATCTCCACCGGCCTAGCCTGACTGTGCATATTGTAACCAAGCACTGGCAACCAAAGATGGGTTACTGGCAGAGGAGAAAATCATCCCTTGTTATGAATACAAACCCAAACCAGTCTTAGAAAGTATTATGATTTAAATATAAATAAATGTTTTAAATATTTATGATCTTCCAATACATACTGATAAAATTATTCCGACAAATAAACCCGACATTCTACTACAACGTTCAAGAAGAGAAAGAATTCATAATTGGTGTTACACACCATTCAGACATCAATAATGCAGAAACAAAAAATTCTCAAAATACATTCCTCTCTCAATAGAATACAAAATAATATACAAACATGAGTCTGTTGAGATTATGCCAATTGTAATAAAATTAACTGGTCTGGTTAACAAAAATCTAAAGTAAGCCCATAAAGTAAAGTTAGCCCATAAATTTAAATACAATAAAATCAGAGAAACAACAGTTGGTATTCATAGTTTTGCTTGGCCGCGGAACCGCTCGTGTCTGACATGTCGGCAGATTTCGCCAATGACGTATTGCATTGCACAACCTGCAACAAACTTGCCACTTGTTCTACCTCGTACAAGCCCTTGGGCAACTTCTGAAAAGAAGGGTTCACGCTACTTTCAGGACACTCAGCAACTGAAGTTGGCACATTGTTGAACTGAAGTTGCTGAGCAATTTCTTTCCGTGTAAAGCCAGCATTAGTTGCCGCAGGGAAATAGCAGTGGTAGTTCAGAGATATATTAATATAGACAATATATAGTAATAATTCAGTCATATATTAATTCACCAGTTGTGAACATTTATTGCAATTGTCTTAACTGAAATGAGTGCTATAACATCACAGGTTTTTTTCGTATTATTAGTGATGGTTATTTACTGTCATCGTATTGCAGGTTCTATCCTATTAACAAACATCACTGATAAAACTCGAACGATATGACATAAAATTACGCGAACCAAATGTTTTCAAATAACTGTGCACAGGTAGTTTCCCATTACCTCCTATTCCCCAAGGGGAATTTTCACGAGTTCATGAACGTGTCCAAATATTTTCATGGCCGTTTTTCTAAAGATAATTGTTAATACACTGAATGGTGCTCATGGCTTAAGCATTAGTAGAACTCAAGTTGTTCCGAACACGTCACAAAACTCTTCGCCGGCGTGACGTCACCTCTTGAAACGTACGAGTAACTACGTTGCCTTCGACGGTTCTGCTGTCTTCGACAAGCAGACGGACTTTGACATTAAACTCTTCTTGATACCGTCCTCGATGATGGACGGCTGGCTTCGGCAGCTCTTCGACCAGCAGGCTTCCGCAGTGCATTTATGCCCGTTCGAGTGGTAGCCTCATATTCTGACTGTACATCGGTAGTGTGCGGCATGACAGCTGTTGAACTAGAAACGTATAAATTCAATGCCACATGCATACGCCGGGAGTAATCTGTCTGTATTTGCCCATGCGTGTAGTGGCTTCGGTGCTGTAACGGTTAGCCTATCGGTCTGTTATACCCATGTTCGCAAGCTCAAAAGCCAATCTAAGCCGTGAATTTTTAATGGCAAAAAATTCTTTCGCACTCCTTCCTTAGGAGGAAAATAAGGCCGGCTGTTCCAGGTTGTAGATTTACTGCATGCTAAGAATCGAGCCTATAAGAAGCCTCTGGCCGAAATTGAAATCGCCTGTTTCATCGCCCGAATGGTACTTCGTTTCGCCGGTGGAGGCGAAGGGGCGTAGGCCGAAATTTGCGAGGGCTTGACTGGTCGCGTGCGGCGGTGCGCAGGGGGTGCGGCTCGCGGCGCACTTCCAGCGGCTGGTGCAGGAGGACGCGCGCTTCGAGGTGCCGGCGCCGCGCCACCTGGGGCTG